CGCTGCATCTCCTAAGTGTATTTGGAAGCGTCTGTGTTTGTACAAATAACGAAAAAAGGTAGTTGCGTTGAAAACTCGAATGTTTCTCATTCGTTTAAAAAATGAGTTTTTTTAACATTTTTCGAGATTTTTGTAAGTATTTTTTGAATCTTTGGTTTCGGAAAAGTGACTTAACAATTTGTAGAGCTCGACGAGCTCTATCGAACTATGTAAAGATGTTCAAGAAAAAATGTTTATTCTGCATTGGAATGACTGGCGTCTTATCTTTCTACCCCAAAAAGTGTACAATTTCTAAAACTTTCTTAAGTTCGGCACTAAAATGCTTTGATAAAACTTACTATTTAGCATCAATAAATCCCGTTTTCGATGAGCTTTCATCTAGTATAAAATTCATTACTTACCCTATTCGCAATTATAGCGTTACCCCCCTGGAAAAACATTTTTACGCACCCTGTACATTTACAGAAATAAGCGCTTGAGCCACTGTGATTCGCGTGATACAAGTACTATACCATCACATTTCGCACCAGACGGCGTCATCTAGGTGAATAGGAAGATGTTATGGACAATCGAACCCTTGACGACAATCCTTAGCTAGTCCTCCGTCTCGCCGAACCACATTCTGCTGCCATCCCCACCATACCTCAAATTCTATTCCTCTTAGAATCATCCAATAACCAACTAGACATTCAATAGCGCACAGATCGCCTGCCATCTCACTCCAATCCATCTTCGCTGTAACATTTAGAGTACCGACGCCTGTCGCAGACTTCATCATTTCGGAAAAGTGAAGGTACATGTCGAAATAAGTGAACATATCTGAAGCCCGACCGTAAGCCACTTGGTCCAGTTCTCCATCGACCGTCATGGTGACCACAAAAGAAGTAGTGCTCTCGTCCTGGATGTATCAGATAGATTCTTCCAAAACCATTTAGGCCGGTGAGATCCATGCGAGGGAGGTCAGGAACATATCCCCATATTTTCGTATCTGGTCGAAATCGAATGATGTGATCGTAACGAACTCCAGTAGATAGCTGATAATCTCGAACAAGTTGACCAGCAAGATACAAAGTTTTTAATTGAGATTGAAGTTGATTTAACTTTCTACCAGACTGTCTGACTGCGGATGGCCCACCTGGGATCGGAAAGGTTTCTTCAATTTTAGTCAAATCATTCACCTTATAGCTCTTTAGAAAATTTCCATAATATTTTCTTAACCGATAGCCAACACTTTCCGCCGAGGGAATAGTACCCTTAGGCAGTTCGGCATCTTGCCAGTAAGTGTAGATGAAAACATCAGCTTCAATACCTCGCCACTTTTGTATCACTTCCAGCACATGCCCGTGGCACGTTATTAGGTTGGTTCCGTACAAACCGACAATAACCACAGCTAATCGACCTCTTGGCACATCGAGTTCCTCTACTTTAGAATGTTGAGATATACGTGGTATCCACTTCTGAAGAATGAATACCACAGAACTCGCGAATTCCTTCTCAGTCCAAACAACAGGTTCGACGATCTGACAGAGCAGTTGTTTCTCAGAAGTGAATATTTTTAAACTTCCATTGTCTTCCTGTACCAGCTGCTTCACTCCACCACTAGCACTCTTCCGACACCCCGGTATCATGCCACTCCACCAGACATTTCTTTCTACCCAATTCCATGCAGCTGTGGACGCACGCACTCTGAGTTCTCCTTCATTCGTTAACTCAACGATATGTCGTCCTGGTCATGAATCACCAGTGTTGGTCCACCAGATTGGTCGTCCAAATGTTTTCCTCACAGAGGATAAATAGAGAATCTCAGACAAACGAAGGTTACCAGAAGCCTCGAGACTTAACTGGAAACGACCATTGGGAGTTTGTATATTATTGCATGTTTCATTTAGAGTTTCCACGGAAGTAAGCACGGATTTGAAAGATACGGCTGTAAAGTTCTGCCTAGAAAACGATGACTGCTGAAAATTGATGCACCAAACAGGATACAAAAAGACGCTGAGGAATATAATTGGCAGAATAAAGCTCCAAACCAGGCGACGAACAGATGACTCCAGGACTATGAACGTAAATCAGAAAAACTAATTTATACTACAACCACTCCTCAAGTGATTTGTAAATGCATCATACGAATTGCGCATTAAACCATAGTATTTGAATCGAACGATGTACCTAAAAGTTGATGAAAATAATGAGAAATAAAGTAGCAAACACATACAGTGCTCCTCAGAAGTTTGCAATTAAAGAAAAATATTTGGAAGCAATCCGATATCTTGCAGCTTGATGTGTATGTATTCCTGTCAAATGCTGATATACTTTCGGCTGTTTGGTTGTGTCCTACGCTCGATTTTTCGGATTGGTCTCTTCACCGCTCCAAGGAATTTGTTTCCATCCCACGATAAAAGCGCCTGATTCTCAGTTGTATTCTCCAACGATTTTTTGAACAGCCTTCGAATAAAAAGCATTCAGAACATGCGGTTTTCAGCTTCACGGTGCAATATCCGCGATATCTGGCGAGGTTTCCTCGACAAACTAACGCTCTATCACGGTATACCTTTCGGAACAATCTGTCCGATGTCGGCACTGCGAAACACCACATAGTAAAACGCTGCTTCAAACGCATATGGATATAGAGCAGATTTTTGCTCTACAAAATGGCTTATTTACCTAAGTTCGTGCAGGAAACTCGATTTTCCTTATTCCGTCCACTGTGGAAAAAGTGCCCAGTCTTTCAATAAAATCCACCCGGCACTGCGTAGTTAATAATGATACATGGCTCAGTTTAATGGGGGAAAATCGGCTCCCAGAGCTTTTCAGAGCCCTTGAAATGTTCTGCTGAGGGCATCCCAGATGCTATACGATGCAAACGATGTTCTGCTGAGGGATGCTCTGAGAAGCTAAAACAAAAAAGGCCGCGTTTTCCGTCTTATAACAGATGCAGTACTGGTGTAGCCATCACATACACGAATATATTTGAAGTTTTTTTTCTATTTCGTTTTGATTTTTAGGAGGCAGACACCCTATCACACTTGAGGATTGTTGTGCCCATGAAACGTGCTTTTACTGTTGTACGACAGTGGATGGCACGGATGTGGTCATGTGTGCGTGGGTCAATTTACATCATGTCCGTTTTGCTCCAGAAGTATTCAAGCATATATTTATATGGCAACACAATGATAAAAAATCCAATGATTATACAATTACTACTTTTTGATCTCCCTCAAGAATCTCATCCCGTATGTGGAGTAACCAAATCCATCTAAAACTTTTTCGAAACTTACTTATTAGTCAGCGGTTCAGGAAAGGGAGAAAAGCTTTTAGAAGCTTGAGATGCTCAGCATCTCATGTTTACTAAGTTTATTAAAATTTCACAACGAAACTCTAAATATTTGGTCTCATCTCATTGGTTCAATATTATTTACATATTTTTCTCTACGAGATTTTATAAAATTTAACGAATATCAATTCTTATTTTCCAATGATTATCTAGTTCTGTTATTTTATAATTTATCCGTGATACTTTGTATGGTATTATCGTCTATATTTCATTTATTGAGTGGTTGTTCAACTAATCTATATTATACATATCTAACATTAGATCTACTGAGTAGTTGGAATTACTCTGGCTATATTAGGATGTTATATGACTGGTCTTCAGTTTTTATTCAAATGTTTTCCATACACAAAATATTTTTATCAAATTTTAATTATTTTTGCAGCTGTTTGTGTTATTATATACTATCTCAACCGATCTGATAATAAAGTTCATAGCTCAATACCTATTAGTCTAACATTAGCTGGATTTTTGCCTATAATGCATTCGATTTATCTCTTCGGTGGATCGAAACAAAATTTATTTATTCAACATTCTTTGACGGTGATTATTGTATTCTTATTATTATTTGGAATTGTTCTTTTGGCTTATCTTACAAAAATTCCGGAACGTTTTTTTCCTGGATATTTTGATTATTTTGGAGCAAGTCATCAAATATTTCATCTATTTAGTTCTATTGCCTTTTATTGGTGGTATGTAAACTGCACCGAACTGTTCAAATATCATAAAAAACATCCGTGTTTGATATCCGTTTAGAATAACATATTAATAATCACGGACAGATGAAAGAATGAATTTCATACGTATTAGTAACAATTTTTTATGAATTTTGAGTGACATTTGACAAAGAACCGATAGCTATGTAGAACAAAAATGGTTTTGGATTCAAATAATTTTAACACGAATCCTTTCGAAAAGAAAATGACATTGACTTTATCCGAACCGTGTGAAAATTTTAGAAGTTGTAGATCTCGATCAGTTGATTTTAAAAATAACTTAATCAAAAAAATAAAAAGTATTAATCAAAGCTAATCGATTTTCTCACAAGATATCAAATCCGAAGGGAAACCAGATGTCTGAAACACCATAAAATCACGTGCTCTTTCATTCTGGACACCACCGAGAAGATCTGAAATGGGGCCGATTCTCGTTCTTATTGCACCTCGTCCTTTAACACATGCGATCGACAATGCACGAAGAATGCCCCCGCTAATACGCAACTCTGGATGTGCCCTTGAACTTGAATTATACTGTTGAGGCACCGCCCTACGTTTGAAATGTCGTGGGACCAGTACCATTTTCGCAACAGCGACGACAAATGTCAATCATTTGTTTTATTGAGATATCTCAAATTTCATCAACTATTCAAATTTCTTCTAATAAATATATCTTTGTATATTTAATAATCACTCACTAATAGCTTCATGTTCTCAATGTCTGCAAATTCTTTAACAGACACAAAGTTTGCAGAAACGTAGAATTACTCGAGAGAACTTCTCATTTCGCTGTTTATCACATCTGATTCATTCAGCAATCCACTTTTTCTAGGAGTTCTAACATCGATTTTAATTCGATGAATTGTGGCACCTCTTCCTGGAGCATGTATCACATTATTTGTAATAAAATAGTGAATTATTTTTCTATCATTTGATCCATATTTATTCATCGAAACTAGTCGATGATATTCCCGTCAAAGTTCGTGGAAAATGAAATACAGCTTTCAAAGTTTTCACTGTCGTTCGCGCCAGAAGCATGCTGCAAATCGGCGAGATCCACCGTTGGGTAGAGCTCAGTTTGGCAATTCGAATTCATCCATTGGATTTTATTTTAAATTTTACTGTCATGGAGATAATTGACCTCATAAAACACACAAAGCCATCATTCTTATCACTAGTTTCCACTGATCGTCACAAAGGCAAGTTTCTCTCTTCCTTCTGATAAGTATCTGTAATACACTGAATGTCAATACCGGTAAAAGAAAAAGGGGTGATTCATTAACATCAACATCCAAACGGCAAAACAGAACAATAAAAAAATGATAATACTAACAGTTCGGATGCAAGCAATACTAAATCTAAAGAAGAATATAATTCAGATGAATACTGAATTTTATGTTATTCTGTTGACTTTTCTTCCGTTTTCAATAAAGAGTTTGTATGATTTATGAAGTAGAATCTGAAACGTGTTCGTTACCATCGTCATTACCATTACCATGAAGTTTAAATTTTGTTACCATTTACCACCTATTACCAAGGATTAAAATTTTCTTTTTACCGTTACGTAACGGTGTGGTGACTGAATTTTTTTGTTACCGCAGGACTATACCTACTACCATTTAGATCGACCTTCGCGGCGAGATTCACATCATATTATAGAGCTCAGCAAGCTGAATCGAATGATGAAAATGACATATCTCTAGCTTTCTTAGAAAAAAAGTTATAGCCATT